GACCCAATGCCCTCACCTGTCTGTGAGCAAAGTGGGGAGCCACTGGGAGTGAAGGGGGCTGGGAGATTGTGTGTATTTTGACCTCATATGACTTGTATTTTAAAGTAGAGTCCAAGGTTTTATTTTTAATTATTTAATTTAATTAAATTTTTTAATTAATTTTTTACTTTTTAAAAAAATTTGACCAGAGAGGGACAGAGCGAGAGAAAATGAAAAAGCAAGCCACCAGGTCCAGGACTTGAACTGTGGTCAGCCATGTGGGAATCTAACACCCTTAACCACCACACCACCTGCTGGCCCCAAGTCCAAGGTTATTGAGGTAACACATTCTCCCTAACTAAATTTACCAATGCTTTCTTTGCTAAACATTTTGCTTTTAGCTTTCATACTAGATCAAACATGTTATAGTGTAGTGTTTTAAAGGATATACAAAGAAGGGAGGTGGAAAATTTATAAGGGAGTTAAAAATTTATAATATTTGGGGCAACCCCATGGCCTAGTGATTAAGGGAGCCAGATCCCACATGGTTGACCACTGTTTGACTCCTGATCCTTGTGGCTTGAAAATTGTGCCTGGCGTATGTGCATGTGTACCCCAAATACCAACAGGATGAAAAAATAGGGGAGAAAGGACTGTGGTGTGGTCATGCCTCATAGGAATGTCTTTTCTTCCTTTCTCTCTCTCTCTCTCTGTAATGAACACACACACACACACATATGCTGGCAAAACTAAGAAATTAAAGATTTATAATATCAGTATCTAAAACCATAAAATTATAGCAAGAAACCTACTTTAATAATTTATTTCATGGGACCAGCACTTGGCATAACGGCTATGTCGCTGGACTCCCATGTAGTCGACCGCGGTTCGAGGCCCAGACCCGGTGGCTTAAACTCATGCCGGGCGTGTGTGTGTGCGTGCCTAAGATCCCAGGAGGAGAATGGAGAAGGGATTGTGGCGTGGCCATCCCCTCTTGGGGGGTGATTTCTCGCTTTCTGTCTCTCTGTCTCTCTCTGTCTTTCTGGTGAGCGCATGTGCCCTGTAGCAAAAACCTCTCCAAAAAAAAAAAAAAATTTTATGTTTTTTCATTTGTTTCTCTAATTTCTTTTTTTTTTTTTTTTTTTTTGAGAGATTTTCACTGTAGGGCGTGTGCGCTCGCCAGACAGACAGAGGAAGACAGAGACAGAAAGCGAGAAATCACCCCCCAGGGGGGATGGTCACGCTGCAGTCCCTTCTCCTCCATTCTCCTCTCGGGATCTTGGGCACGCACGCACACGTGCCCGGCATGAGTTTTAAGCCACCGGGTCTGGGACACGAACCGCGGTCGACTACATGGGAGTCCAGCGACATAGCCATTACGCTAACTGCTGGTTCCCTGTTTCTCTAATTTCTTTTGCCGTTTACTTCCCTCTCAGGCTCTGTCCCCCACCCCAAAGAGACACATCACATTCTAAAGGTTTTGTTTTGCTACCTCAAAGCAAGAAATACAGTATCTGGTAGTTTTGGCAAAGCATCTGGAAACTCGGTCAATCATTGACTCACAGAGAAAGTCACATTTCCCCTCCACTAGAAATAGCACTCACGTAGCACACAAGCCTCATTACTGCAGTAAGTTCAGAAAGCAGTAAATGCCACCACTCCCCTAATGATGGGGATCTGCTAGATATTAAATGTGATTAGACATCTGAGACAGTAACAACTGTTAGATTCCAGCAGCTCTAGATTATTTAGAAAACAGTAAACCTGGAAGATAAAGCTCAAGGTGACAGTTTCTGCAAGTTGGAAGCAATAAGAAAAAAGAGCTTCTGACATTTTTAACAGTTGATTGGAATAGCAAGGCTGATGCTTAGAAAGTCTCAGTCCCCTTTGTTGGGCTTTTCCTTTCTGCTCTTGCCCTTCTTCTAGAGAGGAAAGTGAAGTTTTGTGTTCTGATACTTGGAAGTAGTTACTCTTGCCATGGCTCTTAATGTTTTATTCTTGTGAGCTTTGTTTTCATGTTTGTGACAGGAATATATACAATATAAAATATGATGTAATATTAAATAATTGCATTAGAAAAATAAGGGCAAAGGTAACCCTTCCATTCATTCTGCCTGGCTTCAGGATTAACGGCAATTCTGAAGAGTCCTTAATGAACTCTTCAATTCATTACAATATCAAGCTTCTTAATTTTTTAGTTTATAGATTTTTAGTTTCTCAGGCTTTTCCCTTGAAAAGAGAATTGAGGGCTAGCCAGTGGAGTGGTGGTTAAGGTGGTTGGATTCCACTGCACAGTTTGAGTCCTGGACCCAGCGGCTTGAAAACACCCCAAGTGCACACACATATGTGGCCAAAATCCTGAAAGGAGGGAAAAACGGAGAATAGATTGTGGCATGACCATGCCCCCATAAGGGTGCTTTCTCACTTTCACCACCCCCTACCCATCCCTTGGCAAGCTCACATACCCTCTAGCAAACTACTTTTAAAAAATTGAGGAGGGACCAGTAGTTAGCATAATGGCTGTGTTGCTAGACTCCCATGTAGTCGACTGTGGTTCAAGTCCCAGACCCGGTGGCTTAAACTCATGCTGGGCGCATATGTGTGTGTGCCCAAGATCCCGAGAGGAGAATGGAGGAGAAGGGATTGCGGCGTGGCCATCCTCCCAGGAGTGATTTCTCGCTTTCCTAAGATCCCAGGAGGAGAATGGAGAAGGGATTGTGGCGTGGCCATCCCCTCTTGGGGGGTGATTTCTCGCTTTCTGTCTCTCTGTCTCTCTCTGTCTTTCTGGTGAGCGCATGTGCCCTGTAGCAAAAACCTCTCCAAAAAAAAAAAAAAATTTTATGTTTTTTCATTTGTTTCTCTAATTTCTTTTTTTTTTCTTTTTTTTTGAGAGATTTTCACTGTAGGGCGTGTGCGCTCGCCAGACAGACAGAGGAAGACAGAGACAGAAAGCGAGAAATCACCCCCCAGGGGGGATGGTCACGCTGCAGTCCCTTCTCCTCCATTCTCCTCTCGGGATCTTGGGCACGCACGCACACGTGCCCGGCATGAGTTTTAAGCCACCGGGTCTGGGACACGAACCGCGGTCGACTACATGGGAGTCCAGCGACATAGCCATTACGCTAACTGCTGGTTCCCTGTTTCTCTAATTTCTTTTGCCGTTTACTTCCCTCTCAGGCTCTGTCCCCCACCCCAAAGAGACACATCACATTCTAAAGGTTTTGTTTTGCTACCTCAAAGCAAGAAATACAGTATCTGGTAGTTTTGGCAAAGCATCTGGAAACTCGGTCAATCATTGACTCACAGAGAAAGTCACATTTCCCCTCCACTAGAAATAGCACTCACGTAGCACACAAGCCTCATTACTGCAGTAAGTTCAGAAAGCAGTAAATGCCACCACTCCCCTAATGATGGGGATCTGCTAGATATTAAATGTGATTAGACATCTGAGACAGTAACAACTGTTAGATTCCAGCAGCTCTAGATTATTTAGAAAACAGTAAACCTGGAAGATAAAGCTCAAGGTGACAGTTTCTGCAAGTTGGAAGCAATAAGAAAAAAGAGCTTCTGACATTTTTAACAGTTGATTGGAATAGCAAGGCTGATGCTTAGAAAGTCTCAGTCCCCTTTGTTGGGCTTTTCCTTTCTGCTCTTGCCCTTCTTCTAGAGAGGAAAGTGAAGTTTTGTGTTCTGATACTTGGAAGTAGTTACTCTTGCCATGGCTCTTAATGTTTTATTCTTGTGAGCTTTGTTTTCATGTTTGTGACAGGAATATATACAATATAAAATATGATGTAATATTAAATAATTGCATTAGAAAAATAAGGGCAAAGGTAACCCTTCCATTCATTCTGCCTGGCTTCAGGATTAACGGCAATTCTGAAGAGTCCTTAATGAACTCTTCAATTCATTACAATATCAAGCTTCTTAATTTTTTAGTTTATAGATTTTTAGTTTCTCAGGCTTTTCCCTTGAAAAGAGAATTGAGGGCTAGCCAGTGGAGTGGTGGTTAAGGTGGTTGGATTCCACTGCACAGTTTGAGTCCTGGACCCAGCGGCTTGAAAACACCCCAAGTGCACACACATATGTGGCCAAAATCCTGAAAGGAGGGAAAAACGGAGAATAGATTGTGGCATGACCATGCCCCCATAAGGGTGCTTTCTCACTTTCACCACCCCCTACCCATCCCTTGGCAAGCTCACATACCCTCTAGCAAACTACTTTTAAAAAATTGAGGAGGGACCAGTAGTTAGCATAATGGCTGTGTTGCTAGACTCCCATGTAGTCGACTGTGGTTCAAGTCCCAGACCCGGTGGCTTAAACTCATGCTGGGCGCATATGTGTGTGTGCCCAAGATCCCGAGAGGAGAATGGAGGAGAAGGGATTGCAGCGTGGCCATCCTCCCAGGAGTGATTTCTCGCTTTCTATCCCTCTGTGTGTGTCTATCTTTCTGGCGAGCACATGCGCCCTATAGCAAAAACCTCTATTAAAAAAAATTTTGAGGAAAAGAAAATGAGTTGCTTTATGGTAGTACCAAAATTAGTATTAGAAAAAGATTATCTCTGAGAGTCTGCTTCCAGAAGTAGATGTGTATGTGCATTCCTCCCCACACAGCATTCCACAGAACTGGAATAACCTGTAGAAAAGAATCGTTACCATTATTTAGCTGACAGCCTTTCGTGGAGTAAGTGCTTGGCACAGGTCAGGTAAACAACTCTTAAGAGATGAATCTGACCTTCCTAAAATGAATGAGAGGCTCATTTCCCTGAGGAGGTTTCACATCCCCCCACGCTGCCGCCACCCTGTCCCCTTGAATCAGAACCCAAAAGCTGTTCATGTGTATTAGAGATTCTGAGCTGGTGCCAAGTTGGACCTAGGAAATGAGGCATTGGCACAGTGTCAAGCACTTGAACTCGAGTGTGTGTGATGTCCCTTGTTGCTGTTGTTGCTCTTTGTGGCTGCACTGCAGGAGGGTTGTAGTGTACCCCATGGTTGCTGAACAACGTCTACTATTTTATTAGGGTGCCTGAAGTGGTTCAGGAGCTTCCAGTGACTTCCCCTGTGGACGACTACAGGCAGCATCGGTACAGCAGCATGGGTAACTTGGACACACCTTCCAAAAGGGCCCCCGCCAAGGGAAGAACAGGAAAGTCGAGACGAACAGAGCAAGACCACTATGAAACAGACTACACGACTGGCGGCGAGTCCTGCGATGAGCTGGAGGAAGACTGGATCAGGTACGGAGTCTGCCGGCTTCTTTCTGAAGCCACGCGCATGTTTCAGTGGCCCTGTCAGGTCTTGGAGTTTCACCCTATAAACTGGGATCAGTGTTGTGACTTCACTCTGTGCCAGCTGGACTGGAGATAGATTTTTTTGTGTTGTGTTTTTTCTTAGTACCCTTTTTTTTTTTTTTTTTTT